GCAGGTTTTTGGACGGTGGGAGGAAGCCGTAGAACCCGGAGAGAACCCACAGACACAGGAGAACATGCAGACTCCACCCAGAAAGGTCCTGGTTCCCCCGGGACTCCAACCCAGAACCCTCTGGTCCTGGTTCCCCCGGGACTCCAACCCAGAACCCGACGGTGCTAACCACCACAAACCATATATCCTTTCCTTACGCATTGAACCTGTTTGTTCCGTAAGAGTATTTTGATTTCGTACTTTGTAACTTTTGTCATCCTCTTTTCAGAGTGATGTTTATTTTGGACTTTGGTCATACCTTTGTTTGCCTCGTTTTCAAAAGTGATTATTGTCTTGTACTTTGCTTTCCACTCCATTTTAGTGCGCCTTTATTTCTATTAAAGTTTTTTGCCAGGATTTCTGCATCCGATTCCATTTCTGACCCCCTCTTTCTGGTAATGAGAGAAAATGTCTATTTCTTGCTTCCTCAGATGGAAGATGGAGCCCCCAGGTCACGTGGCAATTCATTGTCTTTTGCACGCCCTTGCACACAGTAAAACCTTTATATTGTGGGCCGATTTCAAAATAAAAGCTCATAACTGACGCAAACGAACGAGTGGGCTGAACATCCTGATCGATTATGGCCATGAAACTCTTATTAAGAGCACTGGCACAAGAAAAAAAAGATATATTGTCATGTTTCTGGGTGGGGTGGGGTTAACTTAAAGAATTAAACGAAATTAAACGAAAGTAAACGAACCCTAACCCTCTAACCCTAACCCTCTAACCCTAACCCTATAACCCTAACTCTAACCCTAACCCTAACCCTGTAACCTTAACCCTATAACCCTGACCCTATAACCGTAACTCTAACCCTATAACCCTAACCCTAAAACCCTAACCCTATAACCCTATAAGGAAAGGCAAGGCATTTTTATTTATATAGCGCAAATTATACAAAGCGGCAACTCAATGTGCTTTACATTAAGACAAGAAATTTTAAATAAAAGAACAGCATAAAACAGCATAAACAAACAAACAAACAAACAAATAAAAAAAAGGTTAAAACACAGATAAAAGCAGGAACAAAGGAAAAAGCTAAATGATTGTTACAGCTCCAGTGCTTTTGCAAAACCAAGATTACAATGTTAAAAGAACATATTTAAAAAATATTTAAAAAAAAGCTCAGCCATAAGCACATGAGAAGAGAAAAAATAACCCTAACCCTATAACCCTATAACCCTATAACCCTAACCCACCTGTCATGGTGAAGACCCCCACCAGGCGGCCGATGCTGCGGTTCCCCAGCAGGACCGTCTCCAGCCCCGAGGCTGAGCTCTGCCTCCTGGACCGGGCCGAGGCCCAGACCCCCGTCCCCAGAACCAG